TATTGCTTCATTTCCTCTTAGCTACTTCTTAAAGCCGGGAGGGCAAGATGTACTGCTGCCAGTGTGCCACTACTTTACTACCACCTATATCGCGACTGTATAACTAAACTTATACGGTTGTGTATTCGTTCATTAGTTGTTGGTACCATTTTGGAGTCAGTGACGATTTTCGAGTGATTGATGTAGATAATTAAGAACAAGAGCAGTCCTCTCCGTTCCCCTCAATGACTGACTGCCTGTTTTGGAGTAGCCCCAATCAGGGCCAAACCATTCATTGTATAGAACACATATCTTGGTCGTAAAAGTTCTTCTGACTGCTGGTTCTCCCACTCCACGTCTACACCATCCCTCGGCGGCCTAGGGTACACCCATCCCTCGAGGGCATGGATTTGTAAAAGTTTGGCAAGAAAGGGGGGGGGGTACATCGGAGGAGAAAATCGGGTGAGGGTTGCATTTTACAAAACCTACGACAATGATGGTGCACCCTGACCCAGATGTCTCTCACACTTCACTAAAAGTTTCATCTCAAATCTTTTCTGTTTAGCTATCATTCCAATGTTGGCAGTTTTACTGACAAGCGCTTAGAATGTTTGAAATCAATCATCGATGGACACGCTTTAGTGGAAAAACATGACTCATCATCTCGATCTGTGTTCCGCGCGATCGCGAACCGTCGCTGTCGACGCTTGGAATGCTTTTTTCTGCTTTGTTGTTCTTACTGATGGCATCGCGCTGATAGCAACCTAAGCGCTGAAACGCGATCTTTTGTTGGACTATTGATTTAATGCGCGTTTTTCAAACTGTGAATATTGTTTCAGTTGTTTCAGGAGGTTTCCCTGAAGGAGCTTCTGCTAACAAGCAAGCTTGTTTTTTTCCACAGAGGTTTTCCTGCTGGGCTTTTTCTAGAGTTTCAGTTGACATCCAGAAAGATAACAAAGATTTTGAAGCTTAGTGACAGTCACCAGTGCGTAAATTCACTTGTCGTTGTGTGCTTTCTGTCTTTATGTCAAACTTTGAACCTTGATAGAGGAAGAAGCTTTGCAGGAGGAGGCGTACTCTCGCTCAAAAATCGACTGAAAGCCCCCCTCTTGGGATGTCTTACACCAGAAAGGTCAGTTTATTCATCCTTGACGGTTAGGTCTCAGTTGTTATCCTTTGTGCCTTTTCTGTTCTTCATCAAGTGGTTCCATATGATTTGCGAATGGTTCCAGTTTAGGTGCAACAGTGCCTAGAGAAATCAAGCGCTAAATATGTCGACTCGGCAAAATCAGACATTCTTGGTGCCTTAGCTGAATTCAAGGATCTTCTTCCGGATACAGAGAGTTACACATTCCCAGATGGTAAACGAAGAACGGCTTTCCGCTTACATGGCACTATTCCTGTGTTTTACAAGGTTGGTTTTTCTTACAACTCTTATACATAGAACTTTAAGTTGCAAGTTGTGATGGTAGCAGAGTAACGCTGCTGTCATTGTACGTGTCATGCTGCGAATGTAAATAGAGTGTTAGAACACTTCAGCGCAAAAGTGTACAGTCCTTTCGAGATTCCGCTGGGAGATGGAATAAAAAACCATCTGAAGCCCAAGAGTACGTTCATACTTTGCCGTCAGACGCAGAACCGTACTGACAAGATATCAACGACTTCTTATTTCACAGACGATCGATACACAAAAGTTTGATACTTACTACTTATACTTCCCTAGTCGCTGGAAACGCTGCCTTCGGCGATTGCCAAAAAGCCTTAGATCGAGGCCGATTATGTCCTGTCGCCCTCAAACCTCTAAAGCATGACGCACTCTAGCAAAGATAAGTGTGATTTACCATCAGTTGGTAGCTTTCGTTCTAACAGAATCGCCGAAATTCGAAACTTTTCGCCCAGTATGGGGAGCTAGTCGGTAGCCTAACCATGAATATTGCATTCTTCATGCTTGTCGCTGGCACCAGAAGTGTTGATATGATGTCATTCCTGATCAGGGTGGTGAATAATCCTTACACGTAAGTTAATGACGAATTCGATGGGAACGTTCTAGTCCTGAAATTGCCATTTTTGACAAAGGCTATGAATGGGTCCTGCAGAATGGATATTCAGTTCTTTTATATATACATTTTTGGGTAATGAAGGAAATCGTGCCGTATCTCGCCATTATCATGAGCAGAGCACGTCGTACGTTGAGGATTCTGAAGGAGGGGGAGGGAGGGTTGTATCTGGTCGGTGAAAGGATAAAAGGACGGTTGCACTCTGCTTATGAGAGAGATGTTCTTGGTTGTTGACTGTGCTTGGTTTTACCCGTTTTTAGTCCGCGTTCATAGCTTGCGACCATGAAGAAATGCAGAAATGAAGAAATGCGGAATCTGCGGAAATGACGAAAAGCAACCGATACGTATCGATTTTCCGCACTTTCTGCATTTCTGCAGATTCCGCACTTCTTCACTTTCGGCATTTCTGCATTTCTTCAATCGATACGTATGTAATGCTTTTCGTCATTTCTGCAGTTTCCGCACTTCTGCATTTCTCCATGGTCGCAAGCTATGAACGCGGCCTTAGGCGCTGTACCACATACCCTTCCTGCTCGACGGTAATTTTTGAGGATAAACAGGCAAGAAGTTGGGCGAATCCAGTAATTTCAGAAGACGATAGGAAGGACGGTTAAGGGGGTCGCACCAACGCAACTTCCAAGGAGGTCGTTTTTTTGCAAGACTCCCCAACGGCAGGACGTGCCGTGATCACTGATAAACTCACGATTCAAGTTCTTTGTATTTTGAACGCTGTGTTGTCTAATGATCTTTCTTAGCTGTTTTCTATAACAAAATTTCTTCATTTTGATCAGTTGCATTTTTAAAATAGTCATAGTGGCTCTCAGTCATAGTGGTTGCTAAAGCAAGCGGAACTCGAAGGCGGCCTTGTTCGCTCTTTTGACGGGGCCTTCATACTTTGCGTCAGCGGTTTAACGGCTATAAAAGTATAGGTATCGATCTAACGTTTCGAGCGTATCCCAGCGTTTTGAGCGCTTCGCGGACAGTTTTGAGGTTTTGGTGGGCAACAGCTGAAAACGCTGGCTGTGCTAGTCTACGCTTGATCGATGCCCATACTTTCTTAGTAACTCGAAACACTCAAAACGCTGTCGCAAAGTATGAACGCAGCCTGACACTGCCCCGAGAAACTATAAGTCTCCTTCACAAGAAGTTGTTTGCTTTTTCTTAAAGTAGTTCTTTTTGTCATAGTTTGGATGTATGCCACATTCATTCTTGCAGGGTGCTAGATATAATATTCCTATATCAGTGTATCTATGGGACACTCATCCATATTATGCACCGATTTGTTACGTATGTCCGACACCGACGATGGTCATACGTGAGTCAGAGCATGTAACGAAGCAAGGACGCGTATTTCTGCCATACCTGAATGAATGGCGGTTCCCGGGTTATGACTTGAACGGATTATTACAAGTAAGTGACTTTATGAGAATGCCTACCCAGAGACATTAGAGACGTTAATCATT